ATTACTCAGTATATTACTCAGTATATTCTTTATAGGGTGGTAGTATTGTTAGGTTTCATAATGCTAGGACTGATTCTTATTTGTGTGCTAAAGGCTCTACTGTACACACCATCCTATCAGCTGTTGGTTTGGAACATGACAACGAACAAAAAGGTATCATCATCATCATTATTATCAATATCATTATTATTATTATTATTATCATCAATAATATTATTGTTGGTGTCTCTAGTTTATTTTAAAAAGAAGAGGGTCCTTCCTGTCCCAAGGCCTCCCCCAGTGTCTGGGGATTGTTGGTGGCAGCTGGTGAAACAAGAAGAACGTTATGATGGTTAGTGGTGGGAGGGGTCAGGGGTGGGACCTCTAATCAATACACTATGTGTGCAGGTGGTTCTATTGAATCAGGAGGAAAGTATTTATTGAGACATTTACCCACTCACATGTACCTCATGGCAGGAGACAACTTTAAGGTAGATACATTTTTATATATTTTTTACATTTTTAAATACATTTTCTTATTAAACAGTTGACAATTGGCTCCATTGATGATGTGGATCCTAAATATTACACATTCACTCTTACTAGTGTAAGCTGTATTTGACAATAATAATAATAATTATTATTATTATTATTATTGTTGTTGTTGTTGTTGTTATTATTAGTCAGTGGCAGCTGCTGATAAAAGTGTATTAAAAGGTTCAAATGTTACTTTGATTCATGAAGGAATTGATGATAAGAAAAGATACTTATATGTTGATGGTAACCAACACATTATTATCATAATCTTATTACATGTACATGTGTATTGTTAAGATGGTGACCCTACCTGGTTGACAAAGATCAGTACTAAAAGAGCTCTGGGTAGCAAAGGACTGAAGGTCAGTGTGTTCTTGTCTTACTCCAGGACCAGTAGTGGTGTCTGTTGCTGGTATCTCATTAGGTAACACTGAAAGAGTCATTACAGGACAAAGTTCAAAATGAAAATTCATTTAAAATTGATGAAGTATGACACTGGCCTCTTCTACTGGCCTGACTCACTCTCTCTCCCCCTATAGGTCAGACCAGACCTGGTCCACTGGCATTATTACGTTGAAAGTGTTAAAAATGTTTTAATGAGATATTTACCAAAGCTTCCGGTATCCATTGTAGCACATGTACTGTACATTATGTATCGTTGGCAGGGGACCCATGGTGACCCTGTGCTAGTGGAGCTGGTCGCTGTACTTAAAGAACTGGTCTGTTGGTTGAAGGTTAAATCACCTTATAACTTAAAGACTCGTGGGAAGATGTTACGCAATGCACATGTGAGTGAGCAGTTACTATATTAATAGATTATTGTTACTATTTATAGATTATTGTTACTATTAATAGATTATTGTTACTATTAATAGGTTATTGATTTGCTAGTTGGTTATATTTCTATTGCTGTTGAGTCTGGAGATGAGGAGAGAGTTAAATTGCTGCGAGGAGTTTCCGAAGTTTTGAGACAGTTTTTGTTAATTAAGAGTCATCACTCGCACTTTTATATGGCAAAAGAAGCATTTATGAAAATATACTTTAATAAGGTGAGGGGTGGAGTTTGTTATTATTATTATTATTATTATTATTATTATTAATAGCTTGGACAAGGCCTTGGTGTTGAAAGTTTCCTCATTGCATTAGTAAAAGATGAAAGGTAATGAAGAACCTATTAATTGATAAAGACATTGACCCATCCTAATGAAGCACCTTAGTACAGAATGTTTTAGAGAAACTTTCTAAAATTTATGTAACATTTAACTATCCTAGTCATTTTAAAAGGCAGAATTCTTTTCTTTGCCTTTTTGGTGAAATTTGGCCAAAGTCCCTGTACTATAGTACAGGGACTTTGGCCTCATTTCTGAGTAACTTTTAAAAATCCAATTTTGATTGGATTCAGTTCATGATTAATCTTTTATTTTAGTGAAATTGCCAAGGACCTGGTAAAGTTTTGCTTTAAGATCCTCAGGGACTCCACCCCCACTTTAAAAATACACCTGGTGAGTGATCTGGGCAGTAGCTCATACAGTTGATGACATGTGAATGCGTCCATTGACATATTGTGAATAGGACACTGCTTCATTGGAGCTACTCTCCACCCTTTGCTTTGTTGATGGACATCCTGAAGAAGCCTTACAAGGTTCATGTACATAATTAATACTTCTATTTCAATGACATTTTTAGATTTGATTTGTGAAGAAGTTATTACGAAGGATCTGGTAGCAATAATAATAAAAAATAATCGTAATAACAATTATTATTTTAGGGTGTTTTTTATCACACTCGTTTGGATGAGGGCGCTAATGTTATTCATTATTCAAAGAACCGATTAGCCAGTACTGATGACAAAACACTCACTGAACTCTGCTCTAATGTATGTCAATATTATATCAATAATTAATTTATTACTATTATTATAGAAAGTTAACGACAACAATGAACGTCTTAATTTTTTTGTTGCTCAAATTTTCCTATTCAGTAACGTCTGTAAGGTTAGTATCTATTACTTAATCCTAACCACACCTCCTGCCCCTCCCCTCAGGGTGTTAATGTGTCAGCCATTAAGACCGTCTCCAGTTGGTTCCCGTTCCAAGAGGCTCTGGTTGTCCTTGATAAAGAGAAACTGGGTGGGGCCATTCATTCAAAAGTGAAGTCAGCTTACCTCCAGCTGGTACTGGCAGTCTATCTTGATGAGGTCATTCATAACAGTGGAGTCGACATTGACGGCATCTGGCACTGCTTCGTAAGATTATATACCCTAGTTACTATTTAT